AAAAATAAAAAGGAAGAAAAAGTCAATATTTTGGTTTCAGACCTTTCCAATATATATTATTCATGCTGTTGCCTCCTTAAACAAAGTGTTTAAGTTACTTTACCTCTTGCTTACCACTCATGATCACCACTGTAACCATGAATTATTGGCCAGGGATGTAACGTGAAGTGTGCTTGCTTCCTTTTCTGTCCGTCATCAGGCTGTCTGCTCATACCGTCTTGGTACCAGCTCATATGGCCTATCTCTTTGCAATTTAATGGGAGCTGAGAAACTCCGGGCAAATGTCAAAACTCATTATAGTTTACTATTTTATGGTCATTAATTCAAATCCCTTCATTTTGCAGTTCTGAAATCTAAGACTCTAGAGATTCAGCTTTGCGCAAGGTCACACAATGAACTATAGTGAAGTTGTGTCTTACAATTTGTATTTCAGGAAGGAAAACATTGTTTAGTTAAAATTGCTCTTAAGGATTTTTTAAATTATTCTTTAGTATAATATATAGTCATTAATTGAGTACTATAGAGATAGATTGAGAACATAAGAAAAGTCTACAGACAGGTTACTGTCCAATCAAACCCTTTACCTTCAAGATAACCATCAAATCCAGTAAATGAGAAATGGAGAGAGACATTTTAAGTGTTCTTGCTTCTCTACGGAATTTTTCCATTTGGTTCCAGTAGTAAGCCTCTGTATCCTTACTACATTTCAACTGATTGGTCTCTCCTCTGAAGATTAGAGGCTTATGTAGTAATACTCAGATGTTAAATGCACCTATAATGCAACTCCACTCTGGGGATACAGGGCAGACAAAGATATACAAATATACAGTACTCCTTGTTCCCTCACCTGCACTTTTTCGGCTACAACTGACTACCTACTTGTTAGATAACAATCTCTGAATATGACCTGGAAAACAGAAAAAACACAAAAGGTTTACTAATAAACATTTCAGTACCCCTCCAGTTTACTTATTTCCTGTTTTTCTTTTGTTGCCTAAGTTATTAAGCTTGCTCTGTAAGATAAGTATTAGTAAATGAGAAGTCATTTGAGTTACATGCAGTCATTTTGATTAGCATCTTCGGTAACTTTTTTTCTCTCTCATAAACATATGGTAAAGCAACATGTAATGTTCCAATAAGTGTGATTTCAAATCTGAAGTACTATTTGTTCATTCCTGAAACCTGAAGCAAACATCTGGTGGTTAATGCTTTGAGAAAAAAAGTACCTTAGTGCATTACCTCTGTGTATGATTCAATATCATGGGCAAAAATATGTAGATGAGATCAGGCCACGAAAGTTTAAGTTGATCCATTCGATTAAAAAGGAAAAAGAAAAAACCCAGGTGCTTCTGTGTTTCCTCTAATATAAGGAACGGAGACTATGCAGTAGCCTTAAGGGCTTCTTCCTTTCTGCCTCATCTTGCAATTAGATATAAACTGTATCCAGTATACATCCTCCCATTGGAACAAAAGGTGTGACTGCTTTCCTATCCCTATTCCATGTATGCTCAGAATTATTCTAGTTTGTGCATACCATCGGGTTCATATTATCATGCATTTTGTTAATTAGAATTCTGTTTCCTACATTAAACTTATGTCCATTTTTTTTATGTTTTATTTTAAGATGTATTCCAGTTCATACTTTCCATTTAAAGATAATAGTTGTTGGCCGGGTGTGGTGGCCTATAATCTCAGGACTTTGGGAGGCCAAGGCAGGTGGATCACTTGAGGTCAGGAGTTCAACATGGACCATAACCATGTTGGTCAGCCTGGCCAACATGGTGAAATTCTGTCTCTACTAAAAATACAAAAAAATTATCTGGGCATGGTGGCAGGTGCCTGTAATCCTAGCTACTCAGGAGGCTGAGGCAGGAGAATTTCTTGAACCCGGGAGGCAGAGGTTGCTGTGGGCCAAGATCGTGCCATTGCACTCCAGCCTGGGCAACAACAGTGAAACTCCATCTCAAAAATAAATAAATAAATAAATAAATAATTTTAAAAAGGCAACAGTTGAAATAAAATTTTAAATAAAGATGCACTGTCCATTTTGTAATGTTGTTCATTTTAACAAAGTATTTTGAAAAAGAAAGATTTTTTATAGTGGTAGAGTATTAGTCTGCTAGGGCTGCCATAACAAAACACCACAGACCGGGTGGCTTAAACAATAGGAATTTATTTCTCACAGTTCTAGAGACTGGAAGTCCAAGATCAAGGTGCTGACAAGCTTGGCTTCTCCGAAGGCCCCACTCTTTGGATTACAGATGGCTTCTTCTTGAGGATGGCCTCAAATGGCCTTTTCTCTATGCCTTCATGCCTCTGATACCTTTTCATCTTCTTATAAGGAAAGGACACAGTTATATTAGATGAGGGCCATACGCTTATAAATTTATTTGACCTTAATTACTTCTTTAAAGACCCTATCTCAAAATATAGTTGCAGTGGGGGTTTCGGCTTCAATGTATGAATTTTAGGGGAACAGAATTCAGTTCATAACAGGGAGCAATGCCATTAATCAAATATTCTGTAATCTCTTCCCCTTGAAGAAAAAAGTCTTATGAAGGAAAGTGATAAAGTTTTCATTTATATGTGATATCAAATTATTCAAAATATAAATTTATATGTGAATAATTTATATGAAATATCATTTATAAGTGAATGAGTGAATGAACATAAAATAACCATTAACTTGCTTTTTGGCCTATCTTAATAGAACCCACAAAGATTTAGCAAAGAAACAGCCAGACAGGCTAGCAATTTACACTTTTACGTATTGTTTTCTGGAACAAAGGAAAAGATCCAGCATGAGAAATGCCAGATGGGACTGCTGCCCTTGTATACGTTCTCGAGTCAAATTGAGAAATTTGGTCTTTATTTTCTGGAAATGTGGCTTCCATATTGGAAACAAAGCTGAATCTTACTCAAATAGTTTCAATATGCAGAGCCACAAGACTGAGGCACTTTAGTCACAAACATAAAATAAAACAAGAATACTGCAGTATTGGTGCACAAATACAAGTAGAGCTATCCTTACCCCCTTGTGAAGATCACACCCGGTTTTTAGAACATGACTTTATGTTTGGTTGGATCATTTGCAGTGTTCTCATTCCTGAATTTTTTTAGTGCTTTGGATTAGGGTAGATAGATTTAGCAAATAAAAATAGAGAGTGCGCAGTTAGGTTTGAATTGCAGGTAAACAATGATTTGCATTTTTTTTTTAAGTATAAACATGTCTCATATAATATTTGGGATGTACTTATACCAAAAAATTCCCATGTGGAACATACTTACAATGAAAAATTATTTGTTATTTATCTGAAATACAAATTTAACCATGAGTCCCTTATTTTATCTGGCTACCCTACTTTGGGTTCAAGAATGAATTTTCTCCCCTTGCACCTCCCTGCCCCCCAACACTCTTAAGCTACTGTCACCAACTTTGTACATTTAATTTCCTAGTCTTAATTTGGTGCTGCCTTTAACCTTTGCCCCAACGCATGAAAACCTCAGGCTTCAGGCTTCCTTCTATTCGGCTGCTTTGATATGTGGTTACAGAATCCCTGTGCTTAAGTATTACACCTTTACATCATATGATAGCATTAGTATATATAAGGTACCTAATAATACTGTGAGAAATCTCTAAACCTTGAAATTTCTAAGCCCTGGGCTCAGTGTGCTCACTTATAAAATCAGGGGATTGGATTCAAGGTGTTTTCCCCAAGGTTTCTTCTAACAATTCCATGTTACTAGTCTTTGAAATGAGGGTTCCATTAGTGCTGTCCTGTGCCTTGTGAAACCTAAATTGTTCCCATTTTAGATTAATCCCTTTTTTTCTGAGTAAGTAGTGTTTACTAAATATTACTAAATAAGGAATGTTTAGATCACTCAGTTTCACCTTTAAAGATACTTAACCTAAATTCCTTAAGGGCCGAAGAACACACTTTTATTTCTTTCCACCCCTACTTGCACCAGGCTTTGCGCACAGTGGGTGAACAGATTGTGTGATCATGATCATGGACAATGTTGAAACAATCCCTTTGTGGTGGGCTCTGATAGTCAAATATAATTTTTGTTATGAACCTAAGCCATCTCCACGGTTTAAGACAGCAATCTGGGAGCTGCTCATTGTTCTCTTCCGCCATCTAGTGGCGCTAGGGCTGCTTTCGTCCCCTCAACTCGCAGTTTGGGGCTGCACGAATTTTAAAGATTGTAAATCAAATGGATGATTTGTTTTATTCTTGTCATTACAGTAAAAAGGGATTTATAGAGTGTTTCAAGATATAAAATGTAATAAATGTTAATAAAATTTAAGTGTAACACAATGGCAGACTTTAATTCTTGAACCTTTAGATTAAATTCATGCAATTTAATTCCTTTAGTATGTTAAAATGTTGAAATTGAAGAATAAAAATATAAGCTATATTAAAGTTTTTGAAAGAAAGATGATCTTTTCAAGGTGCGCTTATATACTAGTTAAGAATGTTTTCATATAAAATAAATGTAATCATAGCAGATGTAAAGGAAAGAAAGGGAACGAAATAAAATTCTGGTAAGTATTGAATTGGTAGAGAATGTTTCCTTTTTTTAAGCACTTGTCTTCAATTAAGTTAGAGATTATTCTCATTATTATTTATAAATGCAATACAATGTTTAATGAGTGTTGAATATTTAGTTTTAATGTCCTATAATCTGGAACTTTCTTCAAATGGCATTATAGAGGGGTTAATTGTGTGAATCTAAAGTAAAAATAAATTTCTCTAATGAATGAAATAAAATATTTCTGAAGTGTGACTTATTTCCCATTAAAGCTATTTTTCCTGAATAATTATAGGAAATATTTCTGACATTTCAACATTATTCTGGCTTTCTTTTGGTTTTAATTTAAAATACCAGTGCTATTATGAAGTATTTAGATCTTTCTAATAAAAAATATTTAATTGGAATACCATTTTGTTTTTAATACACTGATAAGCCAGCTAAGAAATCTCCAATTTGTTTTCCAGGGTGGAAAAATCCCCATCAGGTGGACAGCCCCAGAAGCCATCGCCTACAGAAAATTCTCCTCAGCAAGTGACGCATGGAGCTATGGCATTGTCATGTGGGAGGTCATGTCCTATGGAGAGAGACCTTATTGGGAAATGTCTAACCAAGATGTAAGTGCTACCAATAGTTAAACTGCCATTTTGTGAATGTAAACACATTAGCTTGAGGGGGAAATATGCCTTTTGTCCTCACTCAGATTGGCCTTTATCTTCCTGAGAGCTGCTCATGGTCTACGGCTGAGTTTGAGAAGCTGAGTAACCTTTCACTCTGAGATGTATTTGGTGTCCTCAGGGACAGCCGCCAGGCTGTGCCATGTGAGTGCCTGATCCACATGTTACATCTGAGATTTCCACGCTCATTCTAATGACGTTTGACTGTGTTTATGCAATAGCCTTGACCTACAAGTAAGACAAAAGAAAGAGTAATGTTTACTTTTCATTTCTTCCTTAGGACATTTCAATGCACCACTGTAAAGAGCAAATTAATTTAGACTAGATATGACTTAGAGGGAAAAAAGTGAATGCTTTCAGGCAATGCATTGTCAATATATGCCATCTAGTACGGTTCTTTTGAGATACATGACCCCTATTGCAAATTGTTTTGTTTCTATTTTATCTATAAAACTACCTTGGTGGTTGATACTATAATATTATAGAACAGGAGAATTCACACATTTAACCCCTGTGACCTGTCCACAGCGATAGAGATAGTATTCAAAAGATACAGGTACTCTGACAATGCATGTAAGTGTACTGTCAGAGCTGACATTATATTTTAAGTTCCCACTTTCTCATCTCAAAATTCAGGCTTTGTCTACTCACCTGTTCTTCTCAAAGTATATGATGGTTTCTCATACAATGGTAATGAGAAATCACCTCTAATGTGATTCTGAATGTTCATAGGTGAAAACAAAGACTATGTAACTATAGATAATCCCTAAACACTATCGCCACATCTCATTTGCCAGTTTTAACACAACTTAAGCAACCCACACACACCTCCACACCTCACACTGTCCCAATCTCAAATTGTCCAAGTATCTTAAGGACTTAATTACAGAGAAAATTTATCCTTTTCTAATGTCAGGCATAGATAAGATTGGATTTTGGTTGGCTGGCGATGGCTAGTGTTTCTCCCTGCCATATAGTACTGTTTTTGAAACTGACTCCTTAGTACTGTGAGTGTCTACTGACTCTGTGGAAAATGCTAAGTCCAGAAGCCAACATAGCAGCAGGCTTGAGGCCAAACACACTGCTCAGTCGTTGTGCTCCAAAGCATAACATCAGACTGCAAAGCCAGTGTGGCTGGGCCCTGCCGAGCATTTGCCCTTAAGGACAAAGTGCACCGTAACCAGTAACCTTTGCTCCACGCCCCCAATACTTAGACTTTTTAGATCTGGGTCATTTGCCTACAGTCTACTATTCATCAGGGAATCTTATTTGAAGAACCCCTTTGCTCTTCCCTTTGCTCTTCAAAGCCACTGGACTTTGTTTGGGGCTGTCCCTGACTGCTTTTCCAGTTTTTCGTAAAACTGAATTCCAGAGGCATAAATTTGTTCCTTCACTTTCAAAAGGAACCCATGTTTTGGGATTTTGTTTGTTTTGTTTTGTTTTTAATCAGTTACCTTAGGTAGTAAAAGCCCTGGTTTCAGTCACCATAGTTCCTCTTCTGCCCTAAACTCAAGATAATGCTTGCCTGCTTGTTCTATTTTAACACAACTAAAATAGGCCATTCAAGCAAATGCCCAGAATAAAAAGTCCTCCTACAGATGAGTTACAGTCTTCACTGCACAGAAGAGGCTGCACCTCAAGTAACCTCCCTAACTGGTGTTCTGTTTAGTTATTGTCTTAACCAGTTCCCAGAAGACTTAAAAATTTTTAAATTTCTAATTCAGAAGGCCCCAAACTTTACTAATATACTGGTATCAATAAGAAGTTATTGAGCATCCATACATGGCATATGTTTATTTATTTGCAGATTACATACAAGTACTACTGTACTAATATATTCATTTAAAACTACTTAGTGAATATCTTCTCCATTCTAGGAACTAGGCTTTCACCAGAGAACAAATACTATATTTGGAAGGGACTGTAAAGATTATCTAGGCCAATCCCTTTATTGGTCATGAAACTGAGGCATAGAGAAGTGACATATTTCCTTAAAATCTCATAGTGGTGACTTATTAATGCTCTTAGAAAATAATTCTAATAAACTGCTAGAATAGGCCATGGGCAAGGAGAAGAGGAATAATTGTATCTTTCATGGTGGTTTTGTTTACAGTCCACATAGCTCCTCATATAGGGCCAGTGGTTTCTTGCCCTCATGGAGCTTACTTTCTAATGGGAGGGAGACAGACTATAAACAAAATCAATAAGAGACATAGTATATAACATGACAATCACTGCTATGGGGGAAAAAAGCAAGAGAAGAGAATAAGAATTGGGGTGTTGATTTAAATATATATATTGCAAAATGTATTCATAAAAGTAATTGTTTATGGTCATAAAGGTCATAATCATTATTAGACATTCATAAACATTCTTATAACAGGAGGATACAAATAAATATAAAGAGCAGTTCCATGATTTTTCCTGCCCCCCAGATTTTTCTTTTCTTTTTTTTTTTTATTTTTTTAATTTTTATTTTTTTTTTGAGACGGAGTCTTGCTCTGTCGCCCAGGCTGGAGTGCAGTGGCGCGATCTTGGCTCACTGCAAGCTCCGCCTCCCGGGTTCACGCCATTCTCCTGCCTCGGCCTCCCGAGTAGCTGGGACTACAGGCGCCCGCCACCACGCCCGGCTAATTTTTGTGTGTGTTCTTGGTAGAGACAGGGTTTCACCATGTTGGCCAGGAGGGTCTCGATCTCTTGATCTCATGATCTGTCCACCTTGGCCTCCCAAAGTGCTGGGATTACAGGCGTGAGCCACCGCGCCCGGCCCCTGTCCCCCAGATTATGGCACCACCCATTTAGTAACCATGGTCACAGTTATGTGAACCATAACTCAACCATGAAAGACACTTAACTTTAAAAGTGCCTCACTTTCAATAAATACAAGAAAGGGGTTACATGATTTTTAAGTCCACTTTAACAGTAACATGCTATGATTTTATAATCTCTGAAGAAATCGTTATTATATTTTTCTCAGCAAATGGAATAAGGAATGATTCATAATATTCTTTTCTGATGTTTAGGACTTTCCTGAATCTCTGCAGAGGTGCCAAGAATTAGATAGGATGTCCACAAAACAGAAGGACAAATGAAGATGCCAGACCACAAGACAGATTTTTTAGGAGAGCAGCTTTTGCCCAAATGTGTAGTTTTCAACATAGACCACCATGTAAATTGTTCTTAATAATTGTAGCCTAAAGTAGTCCAAACCTTGTTGTCCCCCCTTCCTTTCCTGGATCTTGCCCAAAAGTTTGCCCAGCCATTCTGGCCATGTATATTGGTGATCTGTGTCCAAGATGACCATTTAGAGAGTGATTTTTGCCTATTAAACCTCATTTGGCCACAGAGGCTCTATCTGGAACTGGGAGAAGATGCTGCAGCCAGGAATCGAGTTCCAACAGTAAGCTCATTCTCATTGGTTCAGGGTTGCCAATGCTCACAGCACAAGGCTGAACTTCCTCCACCCAGAGCCTGGTTGTTTTTCCACCAGGTAGGGTGTAAGCTGTTGTATTGTCATGGTCTTCACGTGCATTACCAAAGAATATCCAAGCAAGAATCTGGGAAAGGGAGAAAAAAGAGGATGGAGGCCTGGGGGGTAAAAAAAAAAAAAAAAAAAAAAAAAATAAATCACAAACCTTGAGGTTCTCACATCAATCCACGACTACAGGAAAATAGTCAGAGCTAAAATCTTTTATGTATCTTGCGAATATTTTTTGCTGCTGCAGTGAAGAGAGTTGAAATTCTGTTTAGCTTCACATATTGGAAGTCAGCATAACTGTGACAGATCCTGTAACCAGGATTTTGTTTGGAAGCAGAAATAGCTTAATCAAAAACTTCCCAGCTGCTCTCTCCAAATACTGGCTATTCCCTATCTGTCCTGCATTTCTCATTTATTTGATCAAAATATGCTATTATGTTTGACTTTTTCCAAGCAAGGCCTACTTTAAATGAAAATGTGATAGACAATACAAATTTGACTATATTCTGTGAGAATATTTTATATTTTTACTACAATTTAGTGAGTTTAACAAAGCTATTCATACAGATCAAATGGAATATTACCATGCTTTATGATTTTAAATTAGTTTAAGAAATTTCAGATTGTTTTTATGAGTTTCTCCGTTCTACAGACTGTTGTATATTTTATTACAATGAGCAATTCTGAGTCTGCAGAATCCGTTTTAGTGAATAATATAATGAGTTTCCCAAAGGTCAGTGGTATTATACTTTAGGGAAAGGAAATGAGAAAAAAAGAGTACACAGAACTAGTCCGTAAAAGACCTAACAAAATATAACAGCAGGTGCCATCTGCCTAGCCATTCAGCTCTTACTTTCTAAGCATGCGCCAGTCATTAGACCAAATGTGCATGTGGGTGGGGATGGGTAATTAGAAAATCCGGTTCTCAGTAGGCCAAGTATAGTAGCTCACACATATAATCAATGCTTTGGTAGTCTGAGGTGGGAAGATCACTTCCCAGGAGTTCCAGACCAGTGCGGGGAACATAGCGAGACCCTGTCTCTAAAAATATAGAAAAAATTAGCTGGGTGTGGTGGCGCACACCTACAGTCATAGCTACTCAGAAGGCTTGAGCCCAGGAGTTCTAGGTGACAGTGAGCCATGATGTGCCACTGTACTCCAACCTGGTGACAGAGTGAAGTCCCGTATCTTAAAAAAAAAAAAAAAAAAAAAAAAAAAAAAAAAAAAAAGAAAAGAAAATGCAGTTTTCACTCTCAAAGAACCCACTGTGTAGGTAAAGAGATAAAATTCTGGTATTCTTAAGTCTATCCCCACCCCCAAATAGAATGTAGACTCATTAAGGGTGGATTCTGTGCCTTCTACTTTTTTTTTTTTTTTTTTTGAGACGGAGTCTCACTCTGTCGCCCAGGCTGGAGTGCAGTGGCCGGATCTCAGCTCACTGCAAGCTCCACCTCCCGGGTTC